TTAGTAACACGGCAAAAGTGAGGTCATAAACCTGAGCAACCAAAGGGTAAAAAGGAGAAAAGCACATAGTGAAGGACTGGACAGGTCCCAAATGGCCAGGGAGAAAAGCTCAAAAGACTGCAGACTGAGTTTTGGCAGAAAAACACAGAGAAAGATCTGTTGTGTATTTCTGATGGACCCTTTGAAGTTTTCTGGATTTAATCTGATTTTTGTCTGTCATTCTTTGCCAAAAAAAGATAAACCCTGCCAGGGAAAAACCTACCTTCCCTTATCCTTATACTAATAAGAAAACAAATGGTCTGTTTTAGATATCAAAACACTTAAAATGTAGAATCTTTCTGCTATGATGTGTTTGAGAGTTTGATATTTCCAATACTTGCAATTATAAGTGACCAAAGTTGTTCCTGGTTAAGTATCTTGTATTTTACCAAACTATGTCAGAACATAGGTCCTGGTCCTACTACACGGAGAGCTTCACCGCAATCAACCCACTGTCTCTATTTGTACTTCACTGAACTGGATGAGAGAGGTTCATTAACTAAAATGCTTCTGTAGGGGTCCCCAGTATATATGTATATGTATATACATATTTACTGATAGTGAAAGTCTCCTGGAATTCTGTCACTCTGTAGAGGTAACGTAATTTAACTGACTCTAATATTGTATTATACCATTATACTATAAAGTTATTATCTTTTTAGGCTCTAGTCTAACAAAGTCTTTAAGCATAAGATTACCTTTAAGCCCTTTTCTTGGATTACTTTAGTCCATACTTTAAGATGCCTAACTTTAATGCCTTGCTGGACTACTGAAAAAATATACTGATATAAAAACTATCATGTAATCATCACATTTATGATGCTCAGCTCACCACACACACTAGTTCCCATTAAAATGACAGAATTTACTATGTATTATTCTAAGCAATATGCTGAGAATTTCATACCCATTTGCAACTCTAATACATTAAAGTGCCCCAAATACCATTTTGTCATTACTATTGGCAGGTGTTTTTTAACAGCGATATTCATATGAGGATTGTCAGCTAACTAGCAAATTTGGAGTTCAAGTAGGTGTTAATACAGAGTAGCAATAAAGGAACTGGACAGGACAAACAGGAAATTCACTTTCAGAAGACCATAAATACACCTTCATAATAGTTAGTGTGACACTGTCACTTTAAAGGCTGTGATCTATGAACACAAAATGGTGTGAACAGTTCTAAACATCCATGTGTTTTACACTGCCTTACCTGATTGGATCTCTTTTGTATTGACCCCAGTCAACTTTGCCATCCCTACACAAACTATTTGTGTTTACCCAAATACAGTTCTTGTCTCCCCAGCTGTATGATCCTAGATTTCTGTTCAATAATGGCATCAGCCATTTACTTGGGTACGCTCTTATTTTATTGAGGTCATTCCAGACTTTTTCCTCTGCACTCTATAGTTGCATTAACAGCTTCCTTCCTATTTTTAAATCACCAGCTAATTTCAGCAACTATGTGCTTATTGTTTCTTCAGGGTCACTCATAAAACAAACACCATTATTGATCTTTCTGAATCTACCACTAGTTTTTCCCTTTTATCTTGTCTGAGTGACTATTCAAGAGGCAATTTCTCAACAAACCAGGACATCTATCCTAGATAAACTAGGGTATCTGAAGAAAGAGGTTTTTCTCTGTGTGCTAATACAGCTCCTATCATTGCAGTAGCCAAGCAACTCATAAATGTTAGTGATTTTGTCTCCACGACACCTTTTTAAAGGGAAAAGTGTTGTTAAGTGTCTTTTATGAACATGAAACTAAGACAGGGGGATCTAGCGCTTCAAAGGCAAAGACCACTCCTGAAATGTAGAACGAATTGCATCCTTAGTTCCTGTATTTGAAGCACAACAGCATCTTCCCTTTATTTCTGCATGCAAAAATTGTGCACACCGGATGGACAATTGCTTGTCTGCTGGATTACAGTGACTGATGACCTGGCCAGTTGGTGTTTATTCTGCATTTTTGATGAGTATCTGAAGGCAACTGACATCAGAGGCTAACACAAAAATGCGTTAAACCAAATTGCTGCCAGTATTTTATCTACTGTTATTATTAAGCTTCAATACAATCATTGGGGTTTAAACCCTCAATCTATTCACTGTCCTCCACTTAGGCCAAAAGAAATTTTGCTTTGCCAAAACAAAACACAATACCAAAATGCAAAGCAGCCTTTACAGGTAGTAGGACCTAAGTGACATTATTCAGGCCCCAAGCATCTAAAGCATCTTTGAAGAGAGTCCGTTTTATTCACACATTTTATTTTAAGAGAGTATGTAAAGACAAGATTTACTGGCCATTACCATTTGGCTAAGTGTGGCTCCTTTCAGATTAATTCTAGACCAATCCACAAAGAAAGTTCCAATGCAGTTTGACTACTATAACACATTAGACAAAGTTTTCCAGTGGTCCCTGGGTATTTCAGCACTATCCAGCCACCTTCGTTATGGTTTCTCTCTCTTTACTCACAGAGGTGAAAGGTTTGCTGGTCTTGTTCTTGCAGATCAACACACCTCCAAAGAGAGGGGTGGAAGGCTAATGGTCTAGCACTAGAGATTGCTGCATACACTGGATAAGTCTGCAGTGCTGTGCCACATGGAGGTGGCTGAGCCCGCAAGCATTACACCTAATGAGGGATAAGAGTAATTGAGCAAGGTGCAGATCTGCACTACCACAGCTGGATGGAGTTACTTGTTCTGCATGACACTGCCCATGCACACAAAAACGTATGCTGTGTGTTTCATTAAAGGGCAGGCAGAGTCTTTCACTCTTCCTGTCCTGCTTTAACACTTCCCAGGTTTATTAAACACAGTTTAAGAAGTTTGTCCCTAGGCAGGAAATTCATGCCAAAGGTCTCAGAGTTGCAAACCACCATTTGGTAGGAACAATAACACTGTCATTAAAGGGTACTGTTACTCATATTATTAGTTAGTATATTAGCATGAAATAAGTTTTTACATGAGAATTTAAAGATCAAACATGCTAATTGCATAATGAATAAAGAAGTAGGCAGCAAACACTGAAAGACCTGGAAACAAGTGAATCCCTTAAATAAAAGGCATTCAGTTAATACGGGTATTGGAGTTGCATTCTCAGTTCAAAACGTGCTTGTCTTCTAGTTTTGGGAAACAAAATAAAGACTAGCGTCCTCACTAGGTTTTGCCTTCGCTTAGGAAAGCATGCATCAGGCAAAACTTGTCAACCAGGATGTGGAAAAGTCCTAGTAAAGATAGTATGAACTCTGTTTTTCACAAGCAATGCATTATGCTCAGGCAGACATCAGTTTGATCTAACGTGTTGTATGTAACTGTATCATGTGTTACAGGAGTACATTCTGTGCCTCCTGACACTCAGATGAACTAAACCCCAGTACAAATGCTTCCCTGGCTTGACTGCTCTCTTCCTACCGGATGGGAGACTCTGGGCTCTCTACAGTTTCTACCCCTGCTTGCTAAGTCATGTCAAAACTAGAGACTGCTTTGTCTTTACTTAACTTTACATCCTGTTACTTGCAGAAAGGAAGTAAGTTATGTTAATAGCACACCTACTTTTTCCTAGTGAAGATGTATTCTGTTGGGTATTAGTGCCATTCACACACATATTTAGACACCCAGTCAAAGGCTATGACCAGCTGTACAGCATATAACGATTTTTTTAACAGAAAGAAAATGCCATTAAAACAAAAGGCCCTGTTCTGCTTCTGGGTAAACAAACTGTAATTTTACAAAGGCTCAAAAAGGAAAGGGATTAACATGCTTCAACGTGGTAATGGTCGCAACTGTTCACATTAAAATTTTCACAGTAAATGAAACCATAACAGAGGTAGGAAAGAAGTCAGTTTTCAGTGGCTCATGCTGTTCTGCTGACATAAATCGCCATTTTTTAGGTAGTATATCCACCACCCTGTATAATGATAGAAAAACTGCAACCCAGCGTTGATTAAGTTCGGCCTTTTGCATGCTAATTTTAGCCTGCTCTGCCAAAATAATTGCATGCGCCACCTTATTTACATGCTTCTAGATATTTAGCACCCTCTCACTATTCTTTCTTCACCATCCTTTACTTAAGCCTGTGGCCCTCCCTCCTTGTTCAGGGTCTGCTGTTCAACACCACTTCTGCTTCCTGAGTTACAGTCAGGACATCTTCCCACCACGCACACCCATCCTTTTCCAGAGCTCTCTTGGCAAGGCTAATGCTAAATGTCAGTCCATCTTCTCCCTGCCTCTCTATGTTTTCCTGCATGCTGCATACAACGCTTCATTATCTTCATGCTCTTTATAAAGACCAGCAACTTTCCTTGACTAGAACATGTTGGCATGAAGCCCTACCCAACCGTCCCAGTAAGGCTGGAGGAGCCAGGTAAGTACAGACTGTCGCTGGTTGATGCCAGCCAACAAGTTCACACAAACACGTGTTACACACCGAGTTTACACAACAGTGACCAAAAAGGAGGGAAGGGACAGGCCGCGGAAGTGTACCAGACCCCCCGGAGAAAGCTCTGCTCTGCGTTATTGTAGCAGCACTACAAATGGATGTTTAAATACAATGGGGTGCTTATCTGCCTGCCAAATGCTCACGATGCCTTTCCACCTCAGTTATATCATGGCAGCGTGAAACAAAAAATGACAAAGGACTATTAAAGAAAGTCAACACAGTAAAAGACGAAATGAAGGGGGAGGCCCAGCACCCAAAAGCCTGCGTGCAGCGGTGTGGCAGCCGAGCCGCAGGGATGCAGCACCCCGCACGGACCCCGCCGCAGCTCCGAGACAGGCCCCGCTTCACCTCACCCAACCTCTCCGCACCAAGCCATGCCCGGCTCCCCTTGTCCGCCACCGCGGGGACAGCCGCAGCCCGCGCCGGAGCCTCGGCCCTTTCCCCACATGCCCGCTCTGGCCCTGCCCCAGGCCCTGCCCTGTCCCCACACGGGCGCCCAGGCCGGGCCCAAACCCTCGTCCCCTGCCCCGGGCCGCGGTGGGCCCGCGGGGGGCGGCCGCCCTGCCCTGCCCCAGGGCCGGCCGCGGGGGGAGGTGGGGACCCCGCTGCCCCTCGGGGGGGCCGGGGCGAGGGAGGGCGTATAATAAACAGCATCGTTGTCATGCGGGCAGGGCTGCCGGCTCCCCAAGCCTCCTCCCCGCGATAACAACCCAGGTACAGCCCGCGCTCGCCCCCCTCCCTCCTCTTCCTCCTCCTTCTCCTCCTCCTCCCGGGGGGCCGGGGAGAAATCCGCAGATCAAAGAAAAGATGCACAATAATAGCGGGGTGGGCGCGCACCGCGGCCCCCCGGCCGGCGGGAACGGGCCCGGGGCCTCCGGCGGAGGCTGGCCGCGGCCCGGCCGCTGCCCGCCCGGCAGGAGAGTGAGGGGGGCGGCGGCGCGGGGCCGGGGCCGGGCGCCCCCCGCCGCGGTACTCACCCGGGCCGGCCAGTGCGGGTACCCCTTCATTTTGGCGAACACCAGGTCTCCAGCCTTGTATTCTCGGGGCCGCGGACGAGCCATCGGGAGCCGCCGCGGGAGCCGCCGTGTGTCCCCCCGCCCTCCCGCACCCCCCGCTCCGCACACGCCGCCCCGGGGGCAGCCGGGCGAGCCCCCGTGGGGTGCGATGCGCCCGTGCACGGGGCGCAGCCGGGAGCGGGGCCGGGCCGCGGGCAATCCCCGATCTCTCCGGCGGCGGCGGCAGGAGGAGATGGGGTGTGTGTGTGTGTATGTGAGTGTGAGTGTGTGCGTGTGCCTGTGTGTGTGAGTGTGTACGCGGGGGAGGGGGAGGCCTTGGACACAACCCCAGCAGCCCCCGGTACCAGGGAGCCGGCTGGCGGCGGGGGCCTGGCCGGGCGGGGGCGGCCGGGGTGCCCTCACCCCGCGGCGGCGGGCGGGCGCGGCGCTGCCCGCGGCCCCCCCGTGCGAGCTGGCTACGCCGCCCGCGCCGCCCGCTCCATCCCCGCCGCAGCCGCCGCGGCCCCGGGAAGATGGAGCCGTCTCCTCCGAATTACTCCTCGGGCAGCGACCGAAAACAGGATCTTCTTATCCCCCGCCCGCTCCTCCCCCCCCCCCCCCCCCCGCGCTTTCCCTTCCTGTTATTTTCTAGGTACACAGATCGGTTTCTATGAAAATAGGAGAGCAGAGAGCGGCTGCAGTCCCTCCCGGCCCTGCCTTCCCCGCTGAAGCATGACACGGTTCTTTATGCGCGCCCGACATGGAGGCTGGGCAGCGAGGAGAACCCGGCTGGTTTTTACAGCAGGGCCCCAGCTTTCCAAAGGCTCCCAGCCCTGCTGAGTGCCCCGTCCCCCCTTGTCATGGAGGCCCAGGCCCCAGCACTGATGGGCTCCTCGGGTTGCCTCGGCCTCCCCCTGCACCGCTGGCCACACGCTGTCAACAGGGCACCCCTGCAGCCGGGGTACCTGCAGACCCCCGCCTCTAGAACGACCTCCCCACGCAGCCAGACCCCTGGCAGCACACACGCCCCTAGGCAAAGGCCTGGCTCCTGGGCACAGGGTTTTCCCCATTCCTGTACCCAGTACCTTACCCACCACCAACCCCTCCACCTTGTTCTCAGCACAGAACTCAAACCCCACAGCTACAAAGACCTGAGATCTGGTTAAATTCACAACAGGGGCTGTCCCTCAGAGGGTGTTTGGGGCCTGGCTCCTGCCAGATGATGCCAGTTTTCACAAACATGCACCTCTGTGGGAGGGAAGCACTGGGAACTCACAAATCCAAACCATGGGTACAGCTTGTTTACCATAATGTTACCAGCTAGGTTGTAATGTTCAGAATAAATTACCATTGATGTTTATTATACCAAAGGATTGTGTAGAGGAGCAAAAGTAGGAAGAAACCTGCAAGCAGAGCCACCAGCAGAGAAGTTTAGGAAAGGTTTTTCTGCAGGTTTGGCTGAGGTTGTAGCAGTGGGTTCCCCAACCATTCCCACATGCAAGGAGGCAATTACCCCTTTGGGTTTAGGGACACAGCTCTGGCTGGATGCTTTGCTGAGTCCTAAGGAAAGCACCTTCCCGCTGATGAAGAAGGAAATAGGTGGCTGAAGACTGTAGGGTCACATTTCAGGGAGGAAGTAGATGAACAATAGAGAGCACTACTGGTCTGTAAGGGCTGGTAATGACAGAGAAAGAAACACTTCTAGCACCTGTTCCTGGGATGGAACAGGACCAAGAAGACTCTTGCCATTTATGGTGTCCCCAGATGTGGTTCCAGTGCCCAAATGCTGCTGTTGGCAGTACATGAGTCAATAAAGTTTGTCACTGGGTCATAAAACAGGATGAGCACTTCTCTGCTTGGGGAAGCGCTGCTGTAAAACCATTATCTCAGGTATCAGGAGCAGACTAACAATGGAAAAAAAAACATTCAAGAAGCTGAACAAACATTCAGATGATTGGCCTGCACTGTGCTCAATGCCGATAGCTGTTCCTGAAGTACTGAGATCAGTGACAGGGTTATCGCCTTCAGTACAGACATGTGGCCAAACAGCTCAGTTTCACTTTCACATCTGATAGGATTTTGCATCTTTTAAACAGATACCTCATTGGAATTTAAATTCCCTTCTGAAAAACGTAATGCAAAATTTCTGAGTATAGGAGCAGTGAACTCTGATCAGAGTCTGTCCAGAATAACCCTGCGTGCTGTGTCTCACCTCTCCTATCTCTGTTATCTCCCCAAACCAGCCTTATCTCCAGAAGACTACTGGAGAGGTGGAGCTGGGTTGGGTTGTGCTTTTTTTTTTATATTATTTTTAATACATTATTTGCTTTTGATTCCAGATGTGAATAGCTCTTTCTAGTAACTAATTTGGTGACCTTAAATGAGGAAGGAGCAGGATGTATGCCATTTTCTTCCAAAAGGAAACTGTAGACATTATTATGTAAACATCCATGCAACAATGTATTGCTAATGTCAGGATAGCAAAATTCAAAGCGACTAGATACTGAACTGAAACATCTCATTGAAATGTCCACTTTTAACTTCCTTTTGTCCCAGCATTGGTGTTGGCAGAGAATGCAGTGAATGAATCATGTTTCTAGTCTGCAGTGAAGGTGATCATATGCTAGAGCTCCAAAGAAGAAGAAAATGCGTCCCATAGACATGCAAGGATGCAGCTCTCTTTTTCTCCTGTGTATAGGGTGTAAAGTGTAAACGAGTTGCAAAGGTAAGAACTCTGCTCAGGTTTGGCCAGCTGGAAACTCTTCAACACACTGCAGACAGTTTCTCCATCAAGCCATGGTTAAGACGCTGGGAAAGGACAGGGAAGAAAAAGCAAATTTCCCTGCTATTAAATGAAAAAACCCAGATCAAATGTTCTACATATTGACAGCACAGAAACACACCTCAGTACATACAGCAAAGGAGTTTTTAGTGTGCATAACCTGTCAGCCATTCATCATAGTGTACAAAGCCTGAGATGTCCTGCTATGTCACCTGTATTCTCCTCTTTTCTCTTCTATACAAAGGGAGTTCATCTACCCATTCTACACAGAAGTGGGAAAGAGGAGTGTAGAGAGTTTCTTCCAAACACTTCAAGAGCAGTTTGAGATCTTAACCATGAATGCAGGAGCACAGAGGCTTGCTAGTATGTACACTACATGTATATAGCCCAGGTCTTAGTGTACAGAAGTCAAGAGCTGAGTCTGTCTTGGGCAGACAAAGATCAGCCGGTCAGAGGCAGGAACACCGTGTCCTTACTGAGCATGGGAGATCTGCAGCAGGGATGGCTCTCTCCTTTCACCTAAGCCCCCTCATAAAATAAGATCGAGTCCCCTCTCACTTCTCATCCTGTGAGACAGGGGTTCTCTTTCCAAAAGTATGAGCAGGGGAGGGGAGTAAAGGCAGAGGCCCAGCAGGACCACACAGAGAGGTGGCAGGGTCAGGAGTGTGGTCAGTAGTGAAACCCATGAGCCACCCAGGACAGGTTGAGTCTGAGGTAACTGTTTTGAAGCCACTACCACACTACTGAATTTTGCTCTCCCAATAATTCCAAGGAAACACTGTTCTTTAGATATTGAGAAGCTTTAAGCCAGTACTGATCATTCTCCCCCTATTCATATAAGGAGAAAAATAGCTACATTCCTAGTTGACAATTTTCACAGGGAAAGAATTCCATTGATTCAAGAGTGTGGATCAATCTTTAAGAAAAGAGCATGTGAACATAAAAGGCCCAATTTCAAAAGAACCCTCCAAAGTCATGAATAAATTTTTAAACATACGCAAGTTTTGCATTAAATACTCCATGATCATAGTTTTGCACATATACATTTGTATGCAAACTGTCTCATATGTGAACCCTATCCATGTTGCTGTCTTGCACTTTCCATTTCGTGAGGTGCTGCCTATATTGTGTCTGTAGAAGCCACATAGATTATTATATTTGCCTCTGAAATTCTGTCCCTGGCCACCTCACCATTTTTGCTTTCTTCGCTCAAATTTCTTCTGAGATCAGACTCTAAATGCTCTGCAGCGTGGCCACTTTATGACCAACTTTACTGTAAGATACTGAAATAAAAGTATTTTTTTTACTCATCTATCTATAGCTGATATAATTTTCTATCCTTCTTCATTTCCTTTTCCTGTATGCAAAAATGTGCCAGCGATGATTACGGTGATTAGTATTTTGCCGATGTCCACAGTAAGCTAGTGCTTCTCTGTTAAATATTTTAATAGGAAGTTGTTCTGAGTCACAACTGAGCCTTTCCCCTGTGCAAGGCATGTCTGAGAGCACTGTCTGAAATCACAGAGCTACTTCGTGTAAAGCAGAAAGAGGCTGTGATGTTATATGTCCATCCCAACATGCACTGAAGGGCACTTACCGTGCCCATTAGGATGTTCTTAATTACTGGAGATAAGAAGCTCACCAGGGGATCTTGAGCCTTCTCTGTAATAAGTTTAAAAGGGAGAAGGGGGTGTGTCATAGCTGGAGCATGTTATCTATACTCGGTTTCATGAATCTTATACAGTGTAGCAATCTCCTAATCATATTAAATTAGACAATCTTTAAGGTGATTGCTTTACGTGTGTAGAGGTGTGAACGTGTATCCTAGAGGCAGAAAAGATGGGAGCACTTCAGTTAAAATTAACTTCTCTCTGACTGGGAGCTTTCCATTATTAATGGGAAAGGTTTGTATGGGATGGAAACGTTATCAGTGAGTATGCATTGCTGCCATTCTCTGTAGGCATTTCAGCCAAAGCTACAGCAGACAAAATATGCCTACAGTGAGTGCTGCTTAACAAGTTCCAATTCAACCTTTGTTTTCAGTTGCTTGTATATTTTTCATAATTTAACCATTAAAATGGAAAGTGTCCATGATGACTGCGTGGCTAAAACATACCCAAACCTCTTCTGACAATGACAGTGGAAGAAATCATTGTAAAATTACCAAATTGCCAGGTAAACAGAGCCAAGTTGCAAGAGTCTGAAAAACATTCATATGTGCTCAGTAGGGGTTGATAAACAAGTCTTAGATGTTCTGTCTGGACTAAATGTGCTCTAGGCTAAAGTGAATGTGATTCAGCTCATGACTGTGGAAGCAAAGCTCATGAGAGTTAAAAATGGCTAGACAGTGTACCAGGGTGGAGGGATCAGGCATATATGCAGAGAGAGAGCTAGGAAAAGCTGGAAGGGGACCAGGAGCTAAAGCCTGGGAAGGACATAAGGAAAAGCAGAAAGGGGTCAGGAGATAGAGGTAAAAACAGCCACAAATTTAAGATGACAAAGATTGCAGAACATATTATAATTCATCAAGAAAACCCACACATGACCTGACAAAATTCTGTGGCCCACTGTGTCTCATTCTCTGACGGTAACTTCTGCATACAAAGACTAATGATCTGTTACTATGCTGCCAATTAACTCATCAGCTTATGTGGAAATCTTGACACTGCATTCAAAGACACTGGACTCTATGACCTAGTAGAGTGTCTAAGTGGTAACCAGCCTGAGATTTTGTGCTGGGGGATAAAACAAAGAAACCAACCCAGAAAGAGATTATTAAAGATTGTTATCACAAACCTCCCAAGAAGACAGCAGAATTAAAGTTGCACCAGCAGCCTGAGCCCAAGCATTTCCCAATGTTTGACTACCTGACTTTGCAACTTCACTGTTCTTTGCTTTTTCTCTTGTGGCATGTGAAACGCTTTAGCAGTCACTTGTTGAGAAACACTCATCAAAACCTAGCGCTTCCATTAATATGCAGTAAACATTACACATGATATGAAGATTACCTTGTTGGACAGAAGATAAGACGCACAGTCTACTTTGCTGTTCCCATAATTTTAAGTGTTTGGCAGAGGTGTCATTCATTGCAATCAAACTAAGGACTTCTCATCTCCATTTGATATACTAATCTATAAAATGCCTCTTCAAATGGCCAGGTGAGAAACCCCATCTCTAAAATAAGAAACTCATAATGCCTAGGAAAAAACCCCTGTAACAGACATTTCTCCTCTGGAGAAATATTTTAAATGTGTCATCTAAAGCCTCAGAGATTTATTGGCTGAGAAATATGCTGAGAGTTGGCAGGAACAATAAATTTAGTGCCAGACTCATGACACTAACCCCATCGTAGTTTCCCCTCATAAATACTGGAGAAAAGGATTTCTCTCACATGTCCTCTGGTACATTTGTCAAAGTACTTTTTGGAATGTGGCTTAATGAATTATTACATCCCGACATGGACAGCAGGACATATTTATTTAAGAAGCTTTGTAACTTCATGTCTGTGTCACCTGAATGACAGTGCTAGAAGCTGAGGAACAAAAGAAATAATGTGGCTAGCATGAAGATTCTTGAGATTGTGGCTGGTTTGTACCACTGGGTGATACTAGTACTCAAAGGCACTTGCGGGTAAGGACTGAGATATTGCTGGTGTTTAAGGTGTTGAGGAGAGTTCTCAGGCTGTGTGGCTGTGGTGATGCTGAGGGTGATGACCATGATGGATGCCAGGATGAAAATGGGCATGGGGAAGTGCTTGGAGAAGTAGATATGATACTGAGCCTAATAGGTTGCAGGGGAAGAAAGTCTTCACCGTCCGGGCAGAAAGTGAGGCAAGTTACTCATTCTCAACAAAGAGGGACTCAGCAGTCTGGGCAGCCATTCCTTTCCAGGGAGTGAAGGAAGCTGGAAGGGTGGGACTGAAGCTGCTGCGTCCACCACCACCACACTTGGTCTGAAATGCTATCACTTAAGCCTTCTAGTGTTCTCTGACAGGTCAGCACACCACCCTGTGCAATGCAGGAACTGGTTCCAGCTGGCTCCTGTGAGAGCTTCTTAAAAGCACATTTCTTCACACATTCCACATACCCACTACCTCCAGATCACGTTTCTTGTGATGGCCTGTGAGAGTGCCCCTTCCTACTTACATCTTGTCATGTGGCAGCCACATGTTGATTGTTTCCCCATTAACCATGCCAAACCTAATATCCTGCTCACCTATTTGTCTTTCAGAGATCTCCAGGCTATACTCCCTGCTCATGACACGTCCTTCATATCCTGCTTCTCAAGAATCACAACCTCATTTCTTTGGAATTCCTTCCCCAAAACTCCATCCCTCCCAGACACCCAGGACAGCTGATTAGGTCTACCACATCTCTAATGAGTGTGGGTTAGAGTAAGAATGTAAAGAGCCTGGAATTAAAGAGGTATATAGTATGAGAAGAAAAGGTCATGAGTAGGATGTGGAGGAGGAAAGGATGTTAGTGCGCTTAATAATAATTAAGATTATAACTTGTAATTAACATTACCTTGCCTGGTGTTTCAGTGATCCCTTTGTTGTATAATGTATCCCTTTCTCCACAGTCTGACTTTGTTTTCCTCAACACTGCCCTCTTCAAAGAAGGCACAGTTTTCTTCTGAGTTTGGAAAGTTATATGTTTATAAATAATAAATAGAATAATAATAAATCAGGGCTACTGCACTTGCTAGCAAACAGCCAATATGCACTAGATCTCTCAGAAGTCAAAGGGTCTGTTTCTGCTACTGTTTATGCCTCTTTACCTACTGTGGATACTGAAGTTCTGATTCATATCACTGAGAAACTTGAGTTGCTAAAATGCGAACTCTCAGTAAGATACAAAGGCAATATAAATATTACAAAATAATACACACCCTAACAGACATGCAGAGAAATTATTATGAGCCAGGAGATGTACATATTTCTAGACAAGTGACAACATTACCATTTAATTAGAACATAGTGACTTGGTAAGCAAATGGCTTATTTCTGGACACTTGTCTATTTTCTTCTTTAGCTGTCACTTATGTTTAAGTGGATGCTGTCTTATTGAACATAAACAGTAGTTCAAACCTTCCCACTGTAGTTCAGAGAACTACAATGCTTCAGAATAAACAGAAAAATAATACCTATCATCTTCACTGAGTAGCAGCAAGGGGCTTAGTATATTGCTGGAAGACAAGCATAAAATATTTAGGCTGGTTAGTATTAAGAAAGTCAAAGAGAATATTATGAGATGAAGCAGCCAAACAGAATTGGCAATGATAGTCTTATAATGGGCAGGTTTTTATAGACTGTTACTCCCACTGGACACGATGCTCCTGATTTACTCAGGCAAACCTCCCACTGAAACTTTCAAAGGGCATATTGCCTGTCTAGAGATTGCTTGTATTGCATCCTCCCTCTGCAACTCCATGGGGTCTGACTGCTTGCTGTACTAGGCAGATGCTAGCCCTATGAAGATAAAAGTCAGTGTTTGCTGCCATGTGGCCCACGGTGCCCAAAGAGAAGTAGTCTGAACACTCAAAGCTGCTTTTTGTTGTTCAATGGTCAACAGGGAATTTCTGGAGCATAGCTAGCAGAGGAGTAGTAGAAAGGCAAGAACGGATACATCTGGCTAGGCACCACAGACCTTTCGTCTGCAAGCCTCAGTTTAAGCAGAGCTTGAATGAAGTCATTTTGGACCCTATCAACAGGTAAAGATCAACTTTTCCACACGTCTGTGTGGAGGACAAGTCTCGGGTAGCAATGGTAGATGAGTTGGTTTGCTTTCCCATGCAGTGTTCTCCTCTGCCCATAACCAGCCTTCAAGGATAGCTTTTACCTTACAATGGTAGCTTAGGGAACTCACAGCATGTAGACTTCAGCATCCAGTATAGAAGGAATCATTTCCTGGATATCGCTAACGTCCACATAACATAAAATTACAATTGGTAACAAAGGATATGGACAATCAAGATTCTGGGCAGTAATATAAACTAGTAACAGCAGGCTATTCTATAATTGAGAACCATAACATGTTTCACATCTAGTACTGGCCATTGTATGCACTTTGTGCAATTTGTTTGTCTATTTGTTTCAGCAATGAGACTTTAAATGAACAGGCAAAAGATGCTCCCATTTTGTGTTCATTTCCTAAAGCTGATGAAGTGACCTGTATACAAATCAAAGTGAGGAATTAATTTCTCAGCAAATACATAATTTACAATTACTGTAATTGTCACAAAGGTCAATAAGCCAAATGTTGGTGCAACTTTGCTGACACCAATATAAGGAGTAATCTGGCCAGTGTACCTGGTGTACCCACTCCTCTGCTGCAGAAGGTGATGAAAGGAAGCACACTCACACAAGCCTGCTGAGTGTAAAACTCCCATTAATTCTGACTGCTCATTTGCACAACCAGCAAGATTCTGCATTTGAGTTCTCCAGGCTACTAATGAAAAACTGGAAGATTAAATTTATACTACACGTTACTTATACATACATCACATGAAATTGTATTTGGTGCAGTATACACACACAAAGCTGATGTAAACCTTCAGACATCAGAATGTTAGATACACATCCCCTTAATTCCTTGAATATGAACTCATTCTCACACACACACATTCTCATACACACACACTGTAATGAGCCTACTGGTTCTTACTGATCCTGAGAATCCCTGAAGGGCTGGGCGGAGGTCCAAACATCCGTCTCATAGTAGATCACTCTGCCATATGTTTGCCTTTCTACACAAACATTTGCCAGAAAATCTATCACCGTCAATGCAGCACCATCATGTGACATGATAATAAAAATGTTTATGTGCAGTCTCTCGGCGTTTTGCAGGGGGAAGTGTCTGTAGGAATGAGGATACTGCTGCACCCTCTCTTTTAACTGCCACGTTTTTTTTGGCTACAGCTTTGATCCTCTCAGTGTCCTTCTTCTGTCAGTAACCACTCTGGTTTGGATTAAGGACAAATGCTCCATTTCTCTTGTTTTTCTTAGTGAAATGCCCCTGCAAGCTCCTTTATTTGAAGCTTATGCTTCAGACCCTTAAAAACTAGAGCTTTGAGCACCTAAACGCCTGTCTCCAGATTCATGGCATGTAGTTCATTGCCAGAAATGTCAAAGGTTGCTGCCCTGACACACAGCATGCTCAGCTCCAGTCTTCCACTGAATGGGCAGCAGCATTTGGAGATGCTGCTACAGTAATAAGCAGAAGCTAAGTCAGAACATGTACAGTTGTTATTACAGCAGTTGATGGGGATCTGGGTTATGTTGTGATGCTCGTAAGGCCTGGAGCTTTATTGTTACTGTCTGTTCACATACTGACTGAATCACCCAGATGTCCTACAAAAATTCCAAATATAAATGACTGAGTAGAATGAAAGTTGTAATAGAGACACCTCCACGTGAAAAATCCTACAAACTAAAGATTCTTACTTGAATGCTGTCTCTTGATATTGTGTCACCATGCATTCAAATATGTCTGTGCAATGTCAGCAGCTGAATCTCTACTGGATTCAGTGGGGCCTTCCCTTTCTTGGCTAACAAATCTGCTGGGGATGGATTTGCTTTTAAAATGTTAATTCGTTCCATCTTTAAGGCTGATGAGTGCCAATGTTGGGCATCTGTTTTCTGGCTGGTCAGTCTGAGTTTTTTATCTAAGAAAACGTGTCAATATGGTGGCAAAACTGGTGTCATTTCTAATCCTTAAAACCTACAAATATCACACAACCTGGGTCTAAATTATAGCATACACACATGCACTGTTGGCGCATGGCTCTTGCTATTAAGAGGGAAAGTTTTTTTTCTACATTTTGGTGGGGTTTGCACTAGAAGCTAGGGAGGCACAGCTGGGGGCTCCTGCACTATTTAAAAGGATACCGCAGGGCTGTTTTAGTGTAAAAGCAAAACCAGATGACACTATGTGAAAAGGGCTTCTCACTTGCCAAAACCTTTACAATTTCAAAATTCATCTTTGCATTTTTTCATATTCATTTCTGTGATCATTTATAGCATAGAAATGCTTCTAAAGTGGCCTCCAAAGTAGACTTTCTAAATACCCTTGCTTTCCGTTGTACTTCTAAGCATCTTTTTTGTAGTGTAAAAGGAAGATAATGTTCTCTAAAATTAGCTTGCTTTCCGAAATACATGTATGACAACTCTTGCTTTCCTTACAATGCTAATGATGGGCATAACAGGTAAAAATACTAATAAAAACAATGGGCATTTTAAAGGATTCAGTGAGCTACATGTTCCTTCTAGCTACAATCTCAATTACTTCATCAGAGTTGAGCACAACAATGTAAGTAAACTTTTGCCTAGTGTTTGATCCTCTGTGAAATAACCAAATCCATTTGCCGCTTTGTAGCTGCTATCCTAAGCTGGCCATGTGTTTCTCTATGAACACTGCTTGTACTGCCAATTCCTATCTAAACCTGCTCAAATAATTTTCAGTTTGGATCACTAGACCTTTTAGGATATTTTTGAGGATGCCATGGAGGCCACTTAGAACACTTTATTTATTCATAGTAATTTTTCTCCTTAAACACTAAAATGGTCACCAGAGTGCTAAAGTAACTTAAAACGTCAATGCAGATTGGCGCGCTCATAGGGATAAACACTACAAAACTAAGTTCAGCACACTGTTTGGAAATGTTGTCGTGGAGTGTATAGAGAGAAATCAGAAACTTTCTTTTTACTCTGCACATCTAGCACATAGCCCAGTAGGGCCTACATCTGTGACAAATGTTTGTCGCAAAAGCTAGGTACAGACAGGTTATGAAAACTGCCTACCTCTGGAGAAATGAATAACTTGCAGGCCCAGTATCATAGTTTCAAAATATGAATTTTATTCATGATCAGTGGTAAATAATGTCAAATATATTTGAATGATTAGTTCTGGCATATCAGGGAAGCTAATCTGTATGATTGCAAGTCTGTACTTGAGGAAATATATTCTGTATATTTCAAATATTCCAAGGCCACATATTCTATTTACCACAGAAAAATAATGTTGTTAGTGTAGATATTACAAAGAAAAATCATGTTGTAGTGTACTGTAGTCAAATATGATGTTAGGAAGGAGTATGAAAGGATCTTCTGCCTCTTAAATATCACTGAAATGGGTAGGTCAATGGGTTCTTTGTGTAAGACAAAACTTGTAAGACACATGGTTTCTTCTAAAAATCAAAAGCCAAGCAGCCCAAGAATTCCTAAGATATGTCTAGGGCTGGTGTGAGAAGTGGTACGCCAAAGGAAAAGAGACAGGGCCAAATAAGAAGAGACAGAATCTGAAAACTCACTGAGAAGGACTTCTGAAAAAGCAGTTATGTGTAGAGGCTGGACCTTGGGGTGGGGAGCTGGATGAAAGAGCTTTAGGCCAAGATTATCTGATTTCTTCTTTAATCAGAAAACCTGTGACTCTGGATATTCATTCAAATAAAGAAATGTGTGTGAACTGAAGTAGTCCACAAGAATTCAGTATTGACTGCTTGGGTTAATAGGAGCAGAAATGTGTTTGTATGAAAATTAACTGAAAGAAACATTAGCAGACAGAATCATGAAATACTACAAAGCTGGGATTCCAAAACTGGCTTTGGTCTGAGGATAAACCATGAAAGTTCTGGCAATTTTTTCCAAGAAAAATGAGAAGTCCACTGGGAAACTTTAGTTAAAAAGTTAATATCCCAGCC